ACGACATCAGACAAACCGGTCAATAGGGAGGTTTAGTCCCACGTAATCCGTGGGTACTTTACGTGTGTGTACCACGTGATACTCAGTGACCCACGTACAGACGTTTTCTGATTCACGACATACCGTGTATGGAGGCTCACCCACGTTCCGCCAGAACGTGGGTGAAAATCAGAATGGAGCGCATTGTGAGAGCTGTGAGGGTGCTCAGCTGAAGAAGTTTCTGAAGCACGAAATCAAAATATTGGATGAGCTTCTTAGGCCCGGGTAGCTTCGTCTTTGACCAGGTTTGGGCCTTTCGCTTCATGTTTTTGTTTGTTCCGTGTGACTAAACACAACATTGCAACGTGGGGGCCCTTCATCCACTTTACGTGGATCACCCACGTACGCGTTTCCGTTACGTGGGAACTAAACCTCCCTAATGTAGCTCGGAACGGGAAACGCTGCAGCAGCTGCTGGCAGGATTCACAGCACCCAATTCAATTTACTCCGATGCGACTGGAAGACGAAAATGGAGGCTGCAAAAATAATACATTTTCTGTAATGACATGTACAGTTACAGCCTGTTACTGAGCGGAGCTTTGGGGTGAAGAATGGATTTTGCGCTGACAGTTAGATCATTGACAGAGGCTGTGTGCTCAATTTCGGACTACACAGGAGTGCGTGGAACATTGCTTCCGTTGTGAATCAAGGCTTTATCGAAAGCCTCTGGGGCCTAAGTGCCTTAGAGAATCCTCAAGGCATTGCAACTCTCACCGCATGCCAGCACACGAGTGTAGTACTTCGTGGGTTGTTTGCAGAGTGATACCTAAAAGCCATCTGATTGTAATCCACTGTGTTCTAGTTGTAATCCACTGTATTCTAATTGTATTAAATGCACTGTGTTCTAATACTGTAATCCACTGTATTCTAGTTGATATCTATTTTCTTGTGTGACAGCTATGGTAGTTAGTACTTATGTGATGATGGAGGTGTGATGCTAGGAAGAGTATGTAAAGTCTCCCCTAGACTAGAGTGTGCTGCAAGGCTCTGTCCAGGATGGGAAGTTCAGGAACCTATTTACAGCTTCAAGCAGTGCATTATAAACGAGCCTACCCCCAATGCACCCTTCAACCATTATTCATGGCGCTCAGTTGCCACGCGCTGGTTGGGTACCAGCAGTATAACAAGTATTCAAGTTCCTAGCTACTAGCATGCACTTACCTCAGCTGTGACCATAAGTGTTGCTGCACAATAGTCAAAGCCATATTCTGACTTTAGCACTCATGACTGCAAAACGAAATCCCACGTTCGGCCACAAGGCCGCAGGCGCGGAAGCGGTCCGGCTTTCCACCGAAACTAAAGGGTTTTAGTATTTGGTCTTAGTAGGTCCTAGATCCCTGCGAATCACAGCTAATGTGTGCCTGAAGTAATGGTTCCCAAGTCTCCAATCGTAAATGACTGTTTGATCGAACTCTGCCATAATTTTCGAACAACAAAGTTCGGAGTAATTTTGTTTGCCTCTGCAACCACTGCATGCGCTCCGTCACTGGCTGCAGTGCAAGTGTGTACCTGAAAGCGCGTCATGCGTACAACACAAAAGGTCACGTGGCATGCGTGCACGTACGAGCTGCCTGAATACCATTTGAATACAGTGCTAGTGCCTATGTCCGATATGTTAGTCCTAGGGCCCATTTGAAATTTCTCACTTTTACTTGACACATGTTTGCTAACATGGATTTTATGATCATTCTTGGATGGTTTTTGCCTCCTGAACACGATGGCATAGGTTTCGATTGCCGAATTGTGTCCGAACATGGTGAAAAACATCAAAATAGAAAAAGGCCGTTATTACCATGGCAACCTAACTAGAATTGCTCCTATATCCATTTTTACTGACACGTATATGGCCAAGTAGCACCTCATTTTGCTCAGAATAAGCAGTAGATACAGTACGGCGACAAGTACTGTACTTTTACAGTGTCAAAACAAAATTTCCAAAGTGCAGTGAAACTTGGCTATTGGACATGTACATGTACATTACATGTCGCGTCGAATGTTAGCATTGAGGTACGTGTACATGTATGTGCAGCTAGCAGGTACAGTGGTCCCTCTATAATCCGGCACCATTTGTGCCACGGAAATCTGCTGGACTAGGGAGGGTGCTGGATTAGCAAATTGGATTTACTGCTGCAATGTGCAGGAAGAGGACTTTTTGGCTACTGAAAATTGTGCTGGTTTATAGAGGGTGCTGGTTTATAAAGTGCTGGATTAAAGAGGGACGACTGTACATGAAACTATTTACAGGCATGCATTACTATAATTATCAGACTGCAAACACGAGAGAAGCGTCAGACGGTTCGGCGTTACACTTCAACTGAGAGAATAGGTATTGTAACCCAAGTACTAACAGGAGAAAGAAAAGGTGGTAGGAAACTGTCAGAGTCTAAGGAAAGAAGTGCTTAGGACAGTTTCAACCTGAACTAATTTACTCGAAGTACGTGTAGATAATACGATAGATCTTGCAGCAATGTATTAGGGACAACACTACTTGTATGCGATGGCAGTGCTGTAACGAAAAAATGATGAAAATGAAAATACCAAAATCCTTTGCATACTATTATTATAACAGTCCAAACATTGGCTAGCTTGTCACAATACTTAAATGCTTTGAAAAGACTTCAAGGCTGCAGTTGGACAACGCTCACATGTGAATAGCTGCAGTTTAAAAAGCTGATCGATCCCAACATTGTGATGCGAATACTTTCGCTTCCATGTGTTTCACTTTAACTGAAGTTGTTCTTCCGTCTGAGCTTTGGAAACTCTACGCCGTACGGCTGAGCCCATCTCTACTCCGCCACCTACACCATCACTGTTGGCTCTGCAGTCACGGACAATTCTTTAGCCACTAGTACATGAGGCAGTATATGAACATGTTTTCCCTCTTCACCGCCGCTCTTGAATCGCATCAACTACGTGCCTTGATCAGTTCAGGAGAGACAAGCCATGACATTGGACATCGGACTCTTTCTTGCAGTTAGTGGTTTATAAGCATAACTGTAGTTTCACACTGCCTAGGCCCAGCCATCAAATTCTGTGACAAGGAAATGATTCTTCTACTACTGGTGTTGCATATTGGGATAGGTTACCTCCAGGTACTCGGATTTCGTTTTTGTAACACTACACACCACATAGCTACTCCCTCTCACTGCAGCATGGCACTCCTAAGGCAGCTGTCCTAGAGCTGTTGAGCTGGTAAATAGGCTTTGTGCAAATGGTAGCTGATCACCACGGTCGGTGTGTTCAAATCATGGTACTGACACTAGCCGCTCGTGTAGATCAAATGCTCGTCCACTGTAACACCTGTGCAGCAGTACTCACAAAGTAAATGCCTTCACTCCAGCCCGATGAAGTTAGCCAGGTCTGAAACTTTCCACGGTTGTAGATTAGTCCTATGTCTATGAATAGTTACAACTGGCTTGGCAAGCTATGATGACTTTCCCCTGCTTTCCACACATAATTGTTGTGCTGCTCCTTGTTGGAATCATGCCTACTTTTCCGGGGAGCCAAGATGACATTGTAATGAAGGTTCTGCTGAATTTAGCATCGATCCATTCGTGGACGTCCCGACAGCAAAAGCGCCAGCGAGTCAATGCAAAACTTTGAAGAAAGTGTCCAAACGAGGTAACACATTTCTGGTATGTCACAACTACACTACTTGATGCTCAATCTTTCCAACTCTCGCACAAAATCAGTGTACGCGTCGGTTCGCATCCTGTGTATGTACGGTGTTACTATAGCTCCTGGCACATAAAAGGGTAAAAACTCCCAGGTCCAGTCTATATAGTACCGAGAAAGTCTTGAAAATGCTTGAATATAGCCGATGAGAACTTAGTTTTTTCGGCAATTTTGTATTCCTATCGAGGGTGATTTCGGGACCTTTGGACGCGATTGGACACGCCATACTGGGCCAAGATGCTCTTGAAGACATTATCTATGAAATAACACCGAAACATCCTTGTTAGCCAACATGTGTCAAGGCATGTATTTTAGAGGTCGATTTTTTGAATTGGCCCCAGTACTATGTCCGGTTTTGGGGGACAAGACGTTCAATCAGAATCATGATCAATGCCTAGCCCAAATTTGCCGGCAATTCTTCCAGCAAAATATCGAAATTTCCCACGAAAAGAAATTGCTGGCAAATTCCGAGCAAAATATCGAATTTACAGAGGATCCGGGTGTGTTTTGGCAATTTTATTCAAATTTCTTTGGTTTCATTGGGCCAACGTAGTTCTGAAGTAGCTCGTGCAGGTTGTCAAGGGTACATAAATTTGAAATGCATTTGAAATCATGCTACAAAATCCGGAATACTGACACCATTATAAGCTTTGCTTTCCTCATTAGAGTCACCATCCACTTTTATCAAAGTAGACGGTTCATTCGAAGCCATTTTTGCCACAAAGCAGGAGCAAAATGGAGCAAAATATCGGAAACGAAAGGCAATGCCAAGCAAAATATGGAAAGTGCTAGGGCAAAATTTGCCGGCAAAATATCGAAGCGCCCCGAGCAAATTTGGGCTAGGCCTACTCGACATACATAGAACATGATTATGACGTGTGGCATGTGGAGACGGATGTGCCACATCTCTCACTGCAAGTGGTTCCAACTTACTACTCGTACGATCAAGAGTATAATTATACTCTTGGTACGATACAACATTATGACTGTGTGGTCATCAGAACACAGTCAGGTAATTGAAATAATGGTGTACTGCAGTAAGTAAAGGTGGAAATTTCTGGACTCTCAGACAGCAAAACAAATGCAGAAGCACAGGGCGCAGTGTCCTGTGTTTGGTTATGTATATCGGGGTAGACCTACCCTTAATTGCTGGGGGTAATTTGCAGTACAACCGTGCAGCACAATCACATACTAGCCATGGGCGCGTGCACGATACCAAGAGGCAAGAGTACATCAACCTCTCTTTTTTTGGTTTATGTACTCTTGACGATACAGACAGAAACCGGCTGCCTGAGCAGTCGCAGCACAGCAGGCTTCGCTGCACACCAAGAAATGAACAAGCACACACATGTATATCACACCGATATATATTCTCGGAGACCCCCTTGATTTAGGATTCCGCCTTTGGGGAATCCCTCAGATAATAATAATAATAATAATAAACACAAGAGCATTTTGTGGAGTGCAATTATATTCTTATCCGTGTAGCATTGCACCAGGAACACATCCCTGGTCCGCACCTCGCAAGTAAATGAAGCTGAGAATAGCTGCCACGCAATGGTGGCGAAACTGAAGCTGCATGGACATGCCCGACCAGCAACAGAAGGAGCCCGAACTGAAATCAAGAGCTGTAAAATAAAACCCATACAGCGGGCTACCAGAATGGCCACGCGTAACAGCATGAGAAAATTATGAAACACCGGAGCGGAAAAGGCCAGAATGCCAAAACGGCAAACTGTAATTAATGACTACCACAAGCGTGGCGGACTTGGGCAGGACACCAGCATCATCGACCCGGTAAGAAGGACATGAAAGGAAATGGACATCAACTACATAGAGGGCATTGGAAACATCCGACCCAAAATCAGGTTGAATTATATAAAATATTGCCATAAATAGAAAAAAAGAAAAAATATCCATAAAAAAGCACTTATAAAAACCCGAGAAACGACTAAACATCTGTGGACCGTCTAAGACCTATTACATGTGTGAGAGAGCACATTGACTAAAAGGAGGGAACAGGCAACTGAGACACAAACCAGTGCCAAGTTCCGGGAACAAGGACACTATGCAGGGGGAGAACGCAAATATACTTCAACTAAAGCTAACTCCACGCACGCACGCACACACACACACACACGCATTCGCACAAACACGCGCGGGGTGGAGAGCTGTCACAGTAAAACAGAAGATAGATCAAGATAGTTAAAAAAGAAAAGAAGAAAAAGGAAACGGACCCATCGGTGAGCCGCAGGACTAAAAAATAATGCACAGCATTGCTAGACTAGACGGGAAGGGCAAGGAGAGCGGAGTCATGGAACAAGTTTGGGGAGTGAGGGAGAATAAACACAGCGGTCACACAAAAAAAACACAGCTTACAAACGACCGTTGATGGTCGGCGAGGAGAACCTCCGCACAGCATCATCAATCGCCTTGGCAACGTGATCGAGATTCCGCTGCGTCAGGCCGCACATGTTGATACGGCCCGAGCGCAGCATGTAAATATGATACGTTTCTTGCATGTAGTCACACTGTTGAGCTGGACAAAGAAGAAATACGAATACAGGAAAGAAAAGAAAATGAGCACAGGAGGTCAAGTCATAGTTGTTCATTCTACAACACAGGTGATACATGTACTGCAATGCCGCGTAAAAAGGATGGGCTTATTCCTGTAGAAGCCAATGCCAGTACTCGGCTTCTGTTCAAATCAGGTTTACATTCAAACCAGTGATTTCGATGTCATTAAAGCCGGTTTTATGTGCCATCTTTAAAAAAAATATTTCTATGGTGGCGGTCTATATGGGGTTTGTATGGGGTTTGTATGAGGTTTACAGGCCCAGTATAAGCCGCCAGCATGATGGGCAAGTTGACTGGAAGTCTGTATGAAAGGTCAGCATAAACACTCATATGAACACGAAACTCCGAGTTACGAGAAAGATCTTTGGTCTCTGTTGTTCTGCCTTTGTGTAGTACGCTCTGCCCATTTTTGAGGTGTTGAGCACTATTTGCAGCAAGGACCCCAGAAGGACCCCAGACACTTTGGCATACTGTAAAACATGTAATTTTCGGTGTAACTTTAATTTCGGTGATTTCGGTAGAGAAACAAGGCACCTAAATTTAAATTACACCTAAAAGGCACTAGAGTATCCACTGTATGTGAAGGGAACGTTGGTCACCTAATTCTAAAATTACACCTGAAACCTGGCAGGTCCCTGCCACAGAAATTCTAATGCACCTAAAATTACAATGTTTTACAGTGCACACAACTTACGAGATAGGCCAGTAAACGTAAACATCCCTTTCTGGTCGACAATATGATTCCAGGCACCGGGTGTTTTCAATTGTTGCAGCTTGGAATACAGCTGCTCGCGCATCAAAATAATGCGATCTGTCATAGTCTTTAGATTTGCTCGCCTGGAGAGAGAGAGAGAGAGGGAGAGGGAGAGGGAGAGAGGGAAAGAGAGAGAGAGAGAGAGTGAGAGAGAGAAGCAGAAAAAATAAGACACACCAACACATAACACATGAAAACACTCGAAGACTCAGCGGGTCTTCAAAGTAAGATAGTGCAGAACAAGAACGAGTACATTACTGTGTCAAGCGCCGAAGAACTGGGGAGTACAGTTCTAGCCTAGCTTGTTCTTCATTTTAGCGAACACGGCCGATTCGTTCTTATTCGATGGTACAGTCTTACATGTACCGTAAAGAACCGCCAGAGCGCCCCACCATCTCGTCCTTTCGTGGTCGCATTGTGGAAGTGGTATCCTGTCTCAGGGCTCTAGCCAGGTCAAAATAGTAGGAGGGAGGCAGGGAAAACAGTTACTCCGTAACCCATTTTCTATTTTCAAAATAACTGTCTTGCATTGCGAAATGCAACGTACGGGGCGAACACCTGACTTCACCCCAGACAAATGTGCCTTTATGAACCCGCTAGTACCGACTATCAACTGCATTTTTCGTTGAATAGCGGTAAAATAAGTGGGGGGGGGGGGGGGGGCACTTTTTCACAGGGGTGCACGCAAACAGAGTAGGGCTACACCCCCCCCCCCCCCCCCCTGGCTAGAACCCTGTGTCTATAGGTCATACAACGTGAACCTTGTACACACATTGCACGTGGTGCAGTCAATCCGTACTCAATTTACGGACACGCGCTCCACACAAAAACCTGCTAAGTGTGACCCTTAGTACGCTACCAATGCTTAGTAACCACTTCACGGGCACAGAACACCTGCTATCGAGATAGGTGGTCTTTCTACATGGAAATGTACGCTTCCAAGGCACCAGAAACAACTTTGGAGCAGGGTGAACATACCATTCCGCCTCGTACGCCTTGTTGTTGAGCACGGAAGCAACAATGCGAGCACCGTGGTTGGGTGGATTTGAGTACATGCCACGAACAATGATCTTCAGCTGGCTACGCACGGCGATGGCCTGATCGGGTGACCGAGTCACAACGGTGATATTACCAGCGCGCTCATCTACAGCAGAGGTGCAAGAAGGCAGAGAAATAATACGCCATGATTCAACAATGGTGAAGCAACGTGCTCCAAAACAATTCCAAGGAATGTGCTCATACCTGTAACTAGAAACCGCCTGCAAAGTTAAAAGGTTGCAGACTCGGGGAAAGGCCTGATTTGGGATATAGGCACACGATCACATGCACTATGCGCAGTCTCTTGTTGAGTTGAACTTACTGTAAAGGCCAAAGTTCTTCGAGAACGACTGAGCTGCCATGAACTCCACATCGTTCTCAACAAAGATGTGCACAGCCCGGGCATCCACGTCGGGATCGCCAGTCACGAACCCTTGATACGCACAGTCGAAGATTGTGAAGTGATTCTTGGCCTAAAGCAACAATGAGGACAACACAACCAGGAGTAACACAAGCAAGAGCACCACCAACAGACAAACATTGTTAGAATACTGTAAAAGCCATTATTCTATCGAGGCGCATATATAACGATTTCCCAAAATTGACTAGTTTACGTGTACGAAAGGTAACGATTCTCACTCATTCTCAACGCTCAATAGGACAGTATATGTATCGAGTTCTGTATAACGGCTTTTATTTCAACGACAGATTTCTCCTCGTTAACTCGATAGAGTTAGCACTTCGTTATATATAAGGCTTTTACAGTAGGGAAGCAACCAGACACACTCTACTCACACAGGACAACAACAGATACTATTGCGGCAGAACGGAAATAGGCATCGGAACGCAAAAGAAAACATAGGTCCATTTCAGTTCAATGAAAGAAACTGTGAAGGTGCAGTACAAGTCGTGCCAATCACAAATAGCTAGAATCACAGCTTTCCAACTACTACAAGACAAGGACATCTTCGACACAGGTCAACTGTCTCCGTAATAGGTTTGTTAGGTACCTCCTCCCGTACTTTCTACAACCTTTTCCAGCTGGCCAGTAATGCTGTATGCACCTCGTACGTACTCACCTTTTGTTCTGTTGGCCTGAGTAGCTACTTGCGCGCCCATATTTGCCATAGCTACCCAGTCCCTTTATCTTGCACTTTTCTCTCAAACTCGCTCTCTCTCTTTTTTCTCATAATGTAGTCGTATAGTTCGTCTTCCTCTCCGTCTCTCTGTCTATAATAAATGTCTTCCCACTACTAGTGCCTGTCTTAAGTTGTTCCTTTGTGTCTGGGATGACAACTCCTTTTTGTGACTCAACAGGTCTACAACACAGGCTTTTAATCCAAAGCAAGCATGAACAGCTGTGTCAGAAAAGCGAATGTATGGGGTTAGCGAATAGCAAGCACTGTAGTGCAGCAAGTGACCTGTACCTTGACTATCGCGCAGATCTCCTGCCACTGCTCCGGACTAGGGTCGACACCAGTGGGATTGTGCGCACACATGTGAAGCACTACGATTGACCCATCATCTGCATTCTGCACACCAACACCAACCAAATGCGCGCGCACGCACACACACACACACACACACACACATCAAGCAGAGCACACATCAAGCAGAGCATACAGCACAATATGCATGAACGCAGCTGAGCGCAGAGCAGATAGTAGCCAGATACCCAAAGTCTTCAAAAGAATACGAGACTCGTACCAACGTAAGCACTTTTAAAATACGAGTGAGATACTGATACGACTCAGCACTATTTGCGAATACAGCATAAGCGTGCTTACATGGTGGACTGAAAACTGGTCTTAGCAGGCAGGTAGCCTTTCTACTGTATAAGTACAAATTTTCGTTCACGAAATCTTTCGTCAGATCACTCCACCAGCAGGCTTGTTACGTACTAAATTTCGTTTTTGGTCGAGGTCTGTCACCCCGAATGTTCAGAATTTTTTTTAGTTTGGTACAAACTTTAGTTATTTCGTGCCCCTAACGAATATAGTGAAAGTTTAATAATTCCAAACGAAAATTTGTACTTATACAGTATACACTGATACAGGCTCCAGGGTATGTAGAGGAGGATCCAGTGCCTGAGACGGACGATCTCTACAGGCAGATACAAGTACTTGAAGTAGCGGCAAGAGTACATACCCCCCCCCCCCCCCCCACCCAGAGGGTGCAACGGCCGATCCAGCTCTGCATAGGGTCTCGGTCGAGCATAATCGGATCTTTGCGTCATAATACCGTATAGAACTGATTTCGGGCACGTCCTGGTCGTGAGCAGGACACGAGATCGGTACACATAATATCACAACCCCGTAGCACCCGTACAGTTTGTGCATTCCAGTGCGACTTTTCTTCATCAAGAAGACCCCAGACCCGGGGACTCTCGACCCAACAAAGGTGCACTGCCTCACCCTGGTGTGGAGTGTACGCATGACATCAGAACCGACCCCCCCCCCCCCCCCCCCGACCAAGACCCTATGCAGGGCTGGATCAGGCGTTGCACACTTTGGGGGGTTATATACTCTCGGGGGTGGCTTATTGCAGAGATCACCGACAACACAGGTGTTCTGCTGCAGCAGAAAATTCTTTCTCGATACAAGGACATACCCTGAGTGCATCGGCCATTCCCTTGAAGTCCAGACCTTTGGTGCCCGGATGGAAGTAAGGATAGGTTTTGACATCTGTGTAGCCAGCATGCTTGAAGATAGTCTGGTGATTGGCTGCACAGAACACACGGCAAAAACCGAAATCCATTACACTAGGTTCAAAGAGTTGGTGGACAAGCCATTGGCTAGCCACCCTCATTGTAAAATCAAGTCCTTGGGTTCGTCCAGAGGCACTCTCGCAATGCCCCCCTCCCCCTCCATTCACACAATTACAGTGCATTTGACAGGTATGGTCAAGGAAATAATGAGCAATGGGTGCTTACACCATGTTGGCGCGGAGATATACACAGTTTTGCCTTGTGGATAGAAGCGACGTAAGAACTCCGCTGCCAACCTCAGTGCACCCGTTCCGGAAAGCGATTGAACACCACAGACCTACATTGTGGAAGAGGTATGAAGACAGGAGCAAACACAAAATTAATATGACATTTGTAGCAAACTCTTTTTCTTTCGGGAACGAACCGTATCCTGTAGGGGGGGGGCATGTAAACAAAGTATGTGCACACATGCAGTCAAGGGCAGTATGGCAGACATGACATGACGTGTTTTAGGGTTCTAACTACATGTACTTCTAACCAAAGGGGATAGGGGGCAGCAGCACCCCATGCTCTGATGGCGCAGCCCTCCCCCCCCCCCCCCCCCCCCCTGTGAAAAAGTGCTGCCCCTACTTCTTTGTCGATTTTTGTGTTTTGTTCACACAACAAAACTGCGGCCACAAATCGATAGCTCCGGTGTGCGCTATGCCCGTCTATACGTTGCACCACGTGCGGCACTACAATACTAGAAAATAGAAAAAATATTGGTGGACTGTTTTCCTTAACCTCCCCCCATCACACACACAATAAAATTATTATTTCCACTGGCTAGAAATCTGCTTGATACTTGTATGGTGCAAGTGCATTTCTGTTATAAAGAACTTCGGCTACGGAGAAATAGACCATGGTGTTTGCTACATCAGGTCAGGCGTCAGCTGTACATCTAATGGCACAATTAAATATTAATTTTTTCAATCAACATCAATGGAACAATCAACAGTGCACTAGTAGTACGGCCTACACTCCACCAAACTCACGCGAGACTCCAGCACTGCTTTACTGCCCGATCCCAGCAGCAGCCGGGACGCTGCATCAGAGTAGGACTTCAAGCCATCTATGGACAGGTACTCATGGTTCAGTGTTTCGTCAGCAGCCAGGGCCGTCTCCACGCTACGCACCACTGGAAGAACCCAAGGGTTTCCCTCATCCGTGCGATATGCTGAATAGCACAGCAGTAACAAACATGAAAGCATAAAAAGAAGTCACTGGCTGGCTCACCGTTGTGATGGAGCATTTCCACTATCAATTCTAAATTCTAAAGAGACTATAGTGCCACTGAGTGGAGGACTCACCACCAACTCCAAGATTGCATTTTTCGGGAGATGTATCGTTATTGTAGGCTGTTGTAACGTGAAACACCGCGTCTGGGGGTGCTACCGCGACGTCTTGAAAGAACGACATTCTCTTACAACTTGCCTTCGCCTCTTTTCAACATCTGCTTTACTGAAATTATTTGATTTGATCCAAGTAAAAGAGACAATGAGTAAGGGGCACGCCAGCTTGAAATACACTACGAAATACACTTGGTTTTCTCACACTGCTGAACTAAAGACATTGCCGGCAACTGGACCAGCCTGGCTTGCATAACATCTCCTGTCAAAACAGATTCGCCTTGGTAGCCGACCATGGCAAACGCCGAGCAAGAATGTACAAAATCCAAAGCTAATTTTGATCCACCCAACAACCATGCAAGCAAAAGCTGGGCCCCGCACGCACGCAGTTGTAGATTTGCGTAGTACCGGTATGTACATGCATGCATAGTGATCGATCGCGTCATGTCCGCGGAGTCGCGGACCACGCCAAGTACACGTGCACGCGAACCTTGCATGCGCCGATCGCATGCGCAGTCAGTACTCGTATAGTACTCGCGAAGGACTAAAGGGACCCTCACTTAATTTTTTGCCGACTACCCGCCAAAAAACACATTTCGACACGCGTGTGTGCTGGACGTCTGCGCGTGCACGACAAGACGTGTGAGCTGGCTGACAAGTGAGAGCCAGGGATCCCGGGAGTCGTCAAGTACCGGCGTTTGACGACTCCCGGCCTGGTGAGAGCATGCATGCATGCATGTCCAGCTGGCGGGAAAGGGAACCTAAAATTGAATGAAGATCGATGGGTTGAATGTGAAATTGTGGATCTACACGAGGTTTGTTTTGATGTTCTGATACTTGTTGTAATGGCTAGTGATCTTGCAAACGTTACTGTGACTTTTCCAAGTCCTACTGATATACCTTGTCAAATCAGATGCCCTGTAGTAGTCTTGGTGGAAGCAGACTGGAATGCGTTGAATTCGTAGCTTCTGAAATTGAAATTTATTTTTTCTTGAGTGACACTGACAAGCGATGGCATTGGCGACAGGAGAACTTTGCTTCCTTCCAGGAGAGCTGCATCGCAGTCGGATCCTGTCCATGCACATGCGATCATGCTGTGTTGTAGACAGTGGAGAGCTGATTTTGACCCGAGAAAATAGTTTTGAACATTCATGAAGAGGATATTGTTGCTGTAGCTAGCTGACAGACATAGCCTGTGGCAGTGGTGTATGAAATAAGCTTGCAAGGTCTGTAGCAACTTGGTCATGGCAGAGAACGAGCTGAAGCGAGATGTGAAGGGTGCCATGCAGCTTACACTTGTGCATGTTCTACGTTACTCTACGGCGAGGAACTACACACGCACTCACTACTGCTCTCGCAAGGTGATTGGCTTCTCTCCAGTGATTCAGGCCGCCTCAAAGCATGGATCCACTGCACTTTGTCGCGGAACACATCAACATGCCTGTTGACGTACACTGGAAAAAGATACGACTCCACGATGAGGACCTGTGTAGCAACTTGATCATGGCAGAGAAGGAGCTGAAGCAACTTCCATTGGCGCATGTTTTTTAGTTTTAACGGAACTCCACGATGAGGAACAGCACTCGCTACTGCTCTTGCCAGGTGATTTGCTTCTCTCCCGTGATACAGGCTGCCTCAATGCATGACTTATCTGCACATCAATACACCTGACGTAGATATAACTGGAAAAAGGTGTCACTCCTCGATGAGGAGCACACAGCACTCGTGAAGGCTTGTACAGAGTGAGGGGCTTCTCCCCAGTGATGCAGGCTACCTTGAAGCATGATGAGCTACGTGAAAAATACCGCGCGGTGTGTTGAAGCGAGGCATGGAGCATGCCATTCAGCTTGGAACTGCACGTGGCATTTGATAGGGCTTGTGCAGGGTGAGTGTCTTCTCTCCAGTGATGCAGGCCACCTTGAAGCGTGAATCCACTGCATCTCTCTCTCTCTCTCTCCAAATTCTTTGGTAATGCAGCCTTTCACCAACATTGTCCGGTTGCACGCCTACTGTCACTCAAACAGGACCAATGGATGCAACATGTGCCTAGCAGATACACTGTTGATCATGAACAACTCCAATAACACCCCCCCCCCCCCTTACCATTGTCTTCAATACACATGCAACTAGAACTTGAAGTATATTAGTCGAAGCTGCTGGTATAGTCTCTACTTCTTGATGCTACCCACTCTCTTTTTCTGTCTGTCTTTCTGTGTATGTATGTGTGTGGGTGTGTGCGTCTCTCTCTCTCTCTCTCTCTCTCTCTCTCTCTCTCTCTCTCTCTCTCTCACGCACACACACACACACACACACACACTCCCTCACTCACTCACAAAGCATGGATCCACTGCACTTTGTCGTTGAACATCTCAACACGCATGTTGACGTACACTCTCTCTTCTCTCTCTTCTCTCTCTTTCTCTCTCTCTCTCTCTCTCTCTCTCTCTCTCTCTCTCTCTCTCACACACACACACACACACTCACAAAGCATGGATCCACTGCACTTTGTCGTTGAACATCTCAACACGCATGTTGACGTACACTCACTCTCTTTCTCTCTCTCTCGTTCTCTCTCTCTCTCTCTCTCTCTCTCTCTCTCTCTCACACACACACACTCACAAAGCATGGATCCACTGCACTTTGTCGTTGAACACCTCAACACGCATGTTGACGTACACTCACTCTCTCTCTCTTTCTCTCTCTCTCTCTCTCTCTCTCTCTCTCTCTCTCACACACACTCACAAAGCATGGATCCACTGCACTTTGTCGTTGAACATGATCTCAACACGCATGTTGACGTACACTCACTCTCTCTCTCTTTCTCTCTCTCTCTCTCTTCTCTGTCTCTGTGCGTGTGTGTCTCTCTCACACACACACTCACTCACTCACTCACAAAGCATGGATCCACTGCACTTTGTCGTTGAACATCTCAACACGCATGTTGACATACACTGTATCTCTCTGCGTCTTTTGATTTCTGTGTCGCTCTTTCTCTTTTTCTCAACCTGTGTATCTACAATGTACTTTGCTGTAATATATTCTTTTGAAGTAATAGTTCTGTCCTTATTTGACTGGATTATTGATCGCGTATTGATCAAGCTCGGCGCCAAGTATTGGCTCGCTTTCTCACATACTTACTCTCTTTTTCTGTCTGTCTCTCCATCTCTCTTTCTGTATGTGTGTGTGTGTGTGTCTCTCTCACTCTCTTTTGACGTACACTGTATCTCTCTTTGTTTATCTCTGTCTCTCTTTGTCTGTCAGTTTCTCTCTCTCTCTCTAACACACAGGCACAAGCTCTTTCTATCTTTCAGTTTCTCTTCTTTTGTTGCTTTCTCATGAACACTAGCACACACACACTCTCTCAACATTGATCACTTATTCCCATCATGCTTTTTTGGGTTTCGTTGTGATAGAATATTGTACTACTAGTACTACTGATGTACAACACTATTCCCATGCAACTGGAGGGTATATATTCGGGTGCTATTTGTTGTTGTGGCTAAGAGTGCATGGGTGCTATTTGTTGTTGTGGCTAAGAGTGCATGTGTGCGGCCAGCTAGTTCCAGCATGCAAGGTGTTACATTTGCTACACTGTGGTCTTACAAGCACAGAGAACCATATGTTCTAACTTTCCTTGATACAACTATGAACCGAAGCACAACTGCTGCAAACATTAACTGCCCATTTAGGCAAGATAGCAACAACTAAAAGTAGAAGAAGTAAGTAAGACTAGCGTCCTTCCAGCTCCAGGACAGTATGAACAGGCAACAGCATACATTTTAACAGCATTGCATCGTACATGCATGTAGCCATGCAGAAATAATTGTACATTTAGTTGTGAATGCAAATCCAAGGCGGAAAGCAGTCAGGCGTAATAGATGCCAGCAATAGAAACCAGATCTGTGACGCATGTCACATGCATTCATGATGATCAATGCATTGTGGTTCACCACCATTGAACACAGTAGTACATGTAAATTACACAGAAATAGGAGATTAAATCTAACATATCTCCCTCGTGAAAGAAAAGTGATAAAATATCACATGAGTGAGTAAAAGACGAAGACAACAAGAAGAAAAACATGACAAAAATAATGGCAATTGAATATGAAAACTCGGATGGAAGAAAAGGACCAAGGACCTACAAGACGTGCTAGAGCTGATAGCCAGTTTGTTGTAGAACGTGAGTACTGTCGGTCAGTTTGGTGCAATGTTATAATTATTGTTATTGCATGAGCTGATTGTCAAGTAACTGGTGGTGTTAGTGGACAGTATAGCATAACTTGTAGTTCTTTGGTCTTTTTTTCTTTACTATGAATATGAAAACAATCACAGCTCGCTCAGTACTTGCACCTTTAACTTCCAGTGGCTCAAGATGATGAACTGCATGCTTGTATACCTTCCCAGCTACTTAAACTTCTACTATCCGAACAGCACCATCCTTACCTGGATAGGTCATAAGCATACGTCCAAGTGGCAAGTGTGCAGTTGCGGTGTGCTTATCCATCACAAGCACAATATCTCCTTAGGGTGATGCTGTTGAAGCAACCACATCACTTGGATGCTTAGCTTCGGAACAATCTCTTTCAGCTAACGTTTCCATACCTGATCTACAATACGTTGCACAAACTCCCAGCGCTTTCTTGGGTGAGCTTGAGTCATTGTAGATGTGTTGGCTTCAGCAGCAACAGTTGCCCTAGCATGGCCAATGAGAAAGTGTTGTGGCAATAGCAGCTGAAGGTCTTCATGCAGCACTAGTTTCATTGCCTTGGCCATTACCTAGAACACACCACCAAAGTGTGGTGCACTTGGTGGCTTGAAGTACCAGGTAATGTCGCGGTATGACCTTTCTGCTGCTAGTCTGAAGTTGTCGAGAAACTTGACAGCTGCTTTTACCTCTTGATCAGCCACACGGAAATTGGTACCGTTGTCCGATTGCATCTCTTGTGGCACACCACGTCGCATGGTGAATCGGGGTCTAAGAGCCAGGAGAAAACCGTCGTTGTCCAGAGATAACCTCGAAATGACAAGCCCTAGTCAGCAGGCATGTAAACACACATACATATCTCTTTGAGTTGTGACCGATCTCGACCCTGGCATGCATAGAAGGGGATGACATAGCCGACACTAATTATGGCAAATGACTGATGTGGTCCAGTTGTCTTGAAGTCGGGAAGTGGTGGCATTGCTGGTGTTGCTGTTTTGATATGGTCCTTGCGGCAAAGAACGCACTTGGCCCGATGCCTCCAGGTGGCCTGCATCACTGGAGAGAAGCCACTCACCCGGCACAAGCATCCACGAGTGCTGTGTGCTCCTCGTCGT